TTAAAGGTTCTTGCCCAACAGCGGAGAGGCAGGCAGGAGAAGGGTTAACTCATGTGGACACCCAAGTTTGGGGCAAGGGGCTATCTGTGACGACAACGCGTGTGCACCCCTTGAAGAAGGATGATGGGTGACTTGGGGTCAGCCCGAGCTCGAACAGGTGGTCTGGCCTTAGAAGACCGAGAACCACGAGTAGGTGTTTGTAAGAGAACAGGTGGAAGCCTGCTCCGTACAGAGTGCGCTAGTGTGTGCTAAGAAGGAGGGCGTGGGGACGTCTTCCGTGTACTTGGGTTGACGTAGCGATGGCTTTGCCCGGAGTGGTGGGATGCAAATGCAAAACGTGTGCAGGACCTGGCTTTGGGAGGCCTGATCCTGGACGTTGACACGAGGTAACATAAAAGTTGCCCAAGGTGTGGCTCTAGTGGATGACCCACGAGCCTTATGGTTTGTGTAAGATGTCGAGGCCCCAGGGTCTCCGCCTCGATTTGTCAAGCTTTTATGGGTAGAGACTCGTGGTGGTGCAGGAATGTGGGGGGTAGCCTTGGGGCGACCCACTAAGGCAACGGCAGACCTCTTTGCCTTTGCAGCAAGGGACTGGGTAACCTTCCGACGTACCTCGACAATACGACTGACAAGTGACTTGCCGGTGATAGGGTGCATGCTATGAGTGGCAGCAGATGTGATATCGATGAAGGGTGCTTTGGTGGAGGTTCCATCAGAGCTAGGAGATGGGGAGCTAGGGACCTTTAAGTCCCTCCTCGTGCCTATCGAGGTTAAGACCTGAGAGCTAGACACTCAGTCTTTACTCAAAAGGAACGAAGTTCGAGGAACTTGTTCATGGGAGACTCTTGCGAATGCGGGGATGAGAAAATCCCCGATCTGGATAAATGGGTTAGAGAACCCAGAAGCCATGTGGTGTGTGAAAATAGAAAAACAAAGGAGAAACTTGCCAAACAAGAACGACCCGACGAAGGGGTAGTAAGTCCCTAGTAGAGTCACAAAGCTGGTTAGGTGCCTCAATCTCGCCTTCCAGATCTGAATGATCGGGCGGCAAGTGACTCGAGTTTCAAGGGAACATGGGACTTTGAGATCGCTCTCTTTGGAATCTCGCTCAGGAGTAAGGGCAGGTGTACCAACCGATGAGAAAGGAAGTTAAGGTGGGTTTGGGACTTACTTGGGATGGTTCACATGGGTGCTCTCTTATATCACGAAAGAAAGCCCCCCACTCGTAGCACTGGTTCAGAATCGCCTCCCTTGGCTTGTATTCTCTTATTTCTACAATTACACACACATGGAAAATGTTACAAGACAAGTGGGTCAAGGGACCCCACCTTGCCTTTGGGTGAATGTACACAAACATGCACATTCAAAAAGGAGAAGAGAAGAATGAGAGAATTAAATTGGGATGAGAAGAATTTGACCAGGCGGTGAGACCAATACAGTGACTAAACTAATAAGTAATTGACCCAGCATGGTAGTAAAATGGGCTTGGTAACTCAGACCAAGTCAACGTAATTACTACTAGACGACATTACCAATACTGCCTAGCTTGACACAATGGCTAGTCTATCGTGACAGTAAAGAGGGCACAGTAACTCTGATTGGCACAACGACATTACTGTTAGATGATAGGACTACCATGGAGTGCTAGTCTCAACCCCCCTTTGATCAAACGAAAGAGTAAAAGAAAGAAAAGAGAGCAAAACGAGAGAGAGGAGATGGAGAAGAGAAATAAGAAAGGAAAAGAAAAGAAAGAGCGAGGTGAGAGAGAAATCAATGAAAGAAGAAGAAGAGAAGGATAGAAGGAATGGGAGAGAGAGAGAAGAACAACATGAGAGGAGATATAAGGAAAAGAAAGAGGAAGAGAAAGAAGAGAGGGAAAAACAAAGAGAAGAAGTAAGAGAGAGAAGGAAGAGGAAGGAAGACACAGACAATAATGAGATGGGGAGAGAGAAACTCAGACGGCGATGAGCTTTCACCATCTGTAGGAGAAAGAAGAGCAGAGGGAGAACACAGGCGGCGATAGGCTTCCACCGACTGTGACATAAGAAAGAGGAGAGAGAAAGAACACAGGTGGCGATAGGCTTCCGTTGGCTGTGACAGAAGAAAAAGAGAGAGAAAGCACAGACGGCGATAGGCTTCCGTCGTCTGTGACAGAAGGAAAAGGAGAGCAAGCACAGACGACGATAAGCTTCCACTGTCTGTAGCAGAAGAAAAGGAGAGAGAACACGACGACAATATTCTTCTGTCGGATATGATAAAAGAGAAGAAAGAGAGAGAAAACACAGGCGGTGATATGCTTCCGCTGACTGTGACAGAAGGAAAAGAGAGAAAGAGCACTGGCGTCGATAGGTTTACGCCGACTGTGACATAAGAGAGAAAGAGAGAGAGAACACAGGTGGTGATATGTTTCTTTCGTATAAGGGAAAAAGAAATTTTGACAGAGGCCCGACCCACAATTTAGGTTATGGCCCGACTCACTGTTCATGTCTCAGAAGCAGGAAAACGTCGCACTAGACGTTGGTCCGCCTTGCGTGAATGGAGAAAATAGAGAAGTGTAGGGAAAGAAAAAATTGATAAGCTAGAGGATGAAGAGAGAGAGAGTGATAGAGATGAGGGAAGGAGAGGGAAAGAGAGAGAGAAAGAAGAGAGAGATAGAGATGAAAAGAGAGAAGAAAGAAGAGAAGGAAAGAGAAAGAAGAGAGAAAAGAAGAGAGAGAAAGAGAGATATAGATGAGAGAAAAGAAGAAAGAAAAGAGATGAGAGAGAAAAGAAGAGAGAGAAGTAAAGATAGAGATGAGAGAGAAAAGAAGAGAGAGAAATAGAGATAGAGATGAGATAAAAAAAGGAGGAGAGAGAAAGTTACCTTACTGAGGAGTAGCACCCCTTTTCTTCTCTCTACTCTCTCTTTCCAAGACACACCCACGAACTTAAGCAATAATTGAAACTTTATTGATCAATCTCAAGAATGAATGAAGGGTCCTTTTACAATTAGGCTTTTCATGTTTATATAGAATTGGGCCCAAACATGAGTGTACACCTAAGAACTACCTAAATTGATGATAAATATAATTTAATTGAATGAACGAAATTCTAAAATTGGGTGCAAAAAGACTGTTTTGCCCCTGTCGAAAATAACATGAAATTAAAAAACAGTCCTTACTATTGCCTTAGAACTTGTGTGATCTTTCGCGAATGATCTGGGGTTGCTTTGGTGCCTGTTTGACTGAAAGATGATTGTTTTCTTGCAGGGTTCGGCATGGCAATGATTTGATACCAACTTCGAGCCATGGATCGTGTTTTTGTGTCACGATTATGTGACTCAAAATTTGGATGCATCTTGGAAACTTTGAATTGATAGTGTGCTCGTTCCTTGATGTTTTCCTTTTATTTCTTTGCTGAATCATACTAAGTATGCTATCACGATCTCATGGTAACAAACGAAGCTCGATTTCATGTCTAGACGAAGATTTTGTCGTCTTGAGTGTTTGGTCATAATCTAGATATCCAAATGGCAAAATTTACAGCAGTTTTGATGCCTCTATGTGTGAAATCCAACCTTTCACCGTACCCAAAGTTCGGACCAGAGATAGGCTCAAACCTGATGCACATAATGCAATCAGTTTCGCATCAATCGGGTACGTGAGAGTCGTGATTTGGCCGCTTTAGCTAGGCATGTTGTTGCAAAATTTTTCGCAACTATCTTCACGAATCATAAACTTCTCTCTAGTGTTTCTCCCTATTCGAGTATCCCCACGGGTTGTGCCACATATTAAAACGTTCGTTTTGATGAGACGAACAGGCTCACCAAATTAGAGAACGATCCGACTCATGACAAGTGAGATATGGGCCTTTGAAGTTGCTGCTCAGGACTATGCACATCAGCCCCCTTTAATGGAGATTGGTGTAGGAAGGCCACACGGGAATAGCATGCGGCCTACCCCTTTTTGGTCTTTTACACATAACTTTGTCTTTGAATGCTTGATTAAGAAAAAACTTGACCCATAAGGGTTTTAGACCATGTCAGATCCAATAGCGGTGGTCCCACAGCTGTTTAACACACCGAGAATATAGCCCTATTTATGGGGTCTGTTTCAGGGTGTTAGAGGCTGATGTTTTTGAAATTGTTTCTTTGTCTGTGTTGCCTTAGACATGTCGGATTGAGACAAAACATGGCAGGTGGCCTTTTGAAGTGCTTAGAAAGATTCTGACCCATTCTGGGGTAACTCTGAGGTTGTTGAGAATATCATTTTATGTTGAGGTATTATGGACCTACTTCCTCTTTATTCCACATCAGGGACCAAGTTGGTGAAAAATATCTTCAAATAGATAGATATACCATGGAGATTTATGATCTACATGATGTTTATATTATGATAGTCTATAAGTGAGTAATGCAGATTATAATACTTGGATGTATTCGTTGTTGATGCATAGTGTCTAGACTTACTTGCTGGGTTGTATAGCTCATTCTATCATTTTTACCATCTCTACAGAACAATAGTCACAGGTGGAAGGAAATTGGCTAGTGGAACTTGCTGGTGTTTGGGACTCGAAGTTGTCGAATATAATTCTTTCTCATTGTGAGTTTTATGGGCACTTTGGCCCTAATTATTGTTTATTATGGCTTGTGTGTACTATCGGGCCCTGATGCCTCGAACTGATATGTAATAATTTTGATAAATGATATATAGTGGATTTTTTAGTATGGATTTTGGCTTTTGCATTCAAATTTTGAGTTTTACTTTTCTCTGGTTTGCTTTGTTGACCGCATTATTAAAGCCTTAAGCCACTCCGATCTAAGTGGCAGTCACTACCTCTGATTCACAGACCTGCTCTCGACCGGCCTCCGTTGAGTACTGTAAGGGGGACGAGGGCAGGGTCGTGAAAGTATGGTATCAGAGCAGCCAGAATAGGTTCCTTGGCTTTGGGAGTTTAGGAGTATCCTTAGAGTGGTTTTAGGTTAGAGTAGTGGGTGGATAGAATAGTAATTGGGTGTTACCATGACTAGGTTGAAGATGCCGGGAGCTCGTGGTGACTATTGGAGTACCAATAACTATGACATTGAAGCCCTCGACGAATTTTGTACGACTCTGGGAGCCATGAACCAAATCATGAAAGAGTCAATGCCAGCCCTATCTACCCCTGCAGAGCAAAGTGATGGTAATCTGATAGAGAAGTTTAAGAGCCTGGAATCCCCAATTTTCTTAAGGGAAGGAGGTGTAGAGAAAGCAGAGAGATTACTAATGCAAGTGGAAAAGATCTTTGGAGTTTTGCAGTGCTCAAATGAGCAAAACTTGAGGTTGGGTACCTTCATGTTACAAGGGTACAGCGAACATTGGTAGCCTTCGATCCAGCAGGCCTGGGAGGAGGAAGAGAAAGAACCTACTTGGGATGGATTTCTAGAGGTCTTCAACAAAAAGTACTTCCCTGAATCGGTAAAGGAAAGGAAGGAGGTTGAATTCATAGAGTTACAACAAGGGAATTTGACCATTGATCAGTATGTGGCAAAATTTTTGGAATTATCCCGATACGCCCCACATATCATCAACACGGAGGCTAGGAAGGCAAGCAAGTTTGAGAGAGGTTTACAGCCCGATATCAAAGGGAGAGTTTTATCGATCAATCTTAAGGCCTTCTCTCAATTGGTGGACTTGGCTAGGAAGGTGAAAAATGACTGTGATGAATATCGATTGAGGAAAGAGAAGCGAAGAACATGGCCTACGCCCTCTGAGGGTCCACGAGAAAAGGAAAGTCGGAGGAATAACAAGACCCAAAAGACCTCCAAGGGTGATGTCAAGCAGAGCTTTCTCATGTATTGCACCTCTTGCGGGAAGCAAGGCCATGTGGCTTCCAAGTTCTAACTAAAGACAAAAGCATGTTAAAACTGTGCTAAGTCGGGCCACCTGATTAGAGACTGCCCAACATTGAAGGATGAGCCCAAACCCATGACTCAGGGTTAGGTATTTGCACTCGACGGGGAAGGAGTTAAGGCTTTGACTTCAGAGAACTAGAAGTGTGTTTTGATTGTAATGTGAAATCAAAATTTTGTTGGACCTTGGTTTCTCCCAATGTGAAATCAGAATTTAAACCTTGTTTGCCTGACTGTGCTTAAATTGTGTGCAATTGATTGGGGATCTTATAGAGATCCTTTTATTATGATAACCGTGTGGAACTTTGCTTGAGGGGTATGTCCTACCCCATCTAGGTGAGAGCTATTACGTGCCGTGTGATTGAAGTGATAAGTGTTTTATGTTTTGACTTGTGTGGTCAATCTTGCGATGAGTGAATGTGATGTATGAATCATGATAAGAATGTAGAGAGTGCTACACAGTTTCTTGGGCCTGCTTTGAGCGTATTGCATGGCCATACTATGATATGTGATTGATTGGCATGCTTTAAGCTTATTTCATGGCCATATTGTGATATGTGATTGATTGGCATGCTTTGAGCATATTGCATGGCCATACTATGATATGTGATTGATTTGCATGATTTGAACTTATTGCATGACCATAATTTGATATGTGAATGATTGGCATTCTTTTAGCATCTTGCATCGCCTTACTGTGATATGTGATTGATTGGCATGCTTTGAGCATATTACATGGCCATACTTGATATGTGATTGATTGGCATGCTGTGAGCGTATTGTATGACTATATTGTGATATGTGATTGATTGGCATGCTTTGACCGTATTGTGTGGCCATACTATGATATGTGATTGATTGGCATGCTTTGAGCGTATTGCATGGCCATACAATGATATGTGATTGATTGGCATGCTTTGAGCGTATTGCATGGCCACACTGTGATATGTGATTGATTGGCATGCTTTGAGCGTTTTGCATTGCCATACTATGATATGTGATTGTTGGAATGCTTTGAGCGTATTGCATGGTCATACTATGATATGTGATTGATTGGCATGGTTTGAGCGTATTGCATGGCCATACTGTGATATGTGATTGATTGGCATGGTTTGAGCGTATTGCATGACCATACTATGATATGTGATTGATTTGCATGGTTTGAGAGTATTGCATGGCCATACTGTGATATGTGATTGATTGGCATGCTTTGAGCGTATTACATGGCCATACTGTGATATGTGATTGATTGGCATGCTTTGAGCTTATTGCATGGCCATACTGTGATATGTGATTGATTGGCATGCTTTGAGCATATTGTATGGCCATACTATGATATGTGATTGATTGGCATGCTTTGAGCATATTGCATGGTCATACTGTGATATGTTATTGATTGGCATGCTTTGAGCATATTGCATGGCCATATTGTGATATGTGATTGATTGGCTGCTTTGAGAGTATTGCATGACCATACTCTGATATTGTGATTATACTAAGGTGCCTACTTTGAGCATACTATAGGGCCCAACTTTGTGAATAATTCTAATGGAAAGCCTGCTCTGAGCTTGTGGCAGGGCCCGACCTTATGATTGATAGTAGTGAGGTGCCTGCTTTGGGCGTATTGCAGGGTCTAGTTTGTGACTGTGATTTTGTGGGGTGTGTTTTGAGTATATTATATGATCAATGATTGTAAGGTGCTGCCTTGTGAGTATTGCCGGACCTTATTTAAGGACTGATACTAGTAGCCAGCTAGTAGTGGCTGAACTGGTCCAGATGGATTGGAGTTGAATGGCTTGATTTGATTTGTGTGTGTCAACTTGTTAATTTTAACTGGTTGGGTTAATAGAGTATCTAAATTGCTAAGGTATTTGAATGGTTAGAGCTTGAAGTTGTGTGTGAAACGTGAAGTATAGACTATGTGATTACTGGAAATATGGACATAAATGGTTGTAGCAGACAATAGTGCATGTGTTGGTGCCCTCCCACGATTATTGGAATTTCATATGTACGATTTTGGGGAGAAAATATTTTTTAAGGGGGGGATGATGTAAGGACCACAATTTTTTGGACTTGAAGCACTCACGACAATAGAGACCTAGACACTCCCGGCGGTAGAGAGAAGGGATTACACCCCAGAAGCTAGGGGAGAAGACTTAGCGCCATCTATGAATTTTGGAGGTATCATCATGCGTAGATGAGAGAGAACGCCATGCATAGATGAGAGGGAACACCGTGTGTAGATGAGAGGGATCGTCATGCATGAAATGGTAATGTCGCCTGTAAACAAAGGACATCGCCGCGAGTGCAAGGGGCAATGCCGCATGCGAATGGAGGTAACGCCACGAGCATAAAGAGTAACGTTGTGCGCGGCATGAGGCAGCGCTGTCTGTGAATTGAAGAGAGAGAATAAGCTGAAGCATCTCTGTTTGGAGTAACACCGCGCATGGAACTAAGTATCGCTGTACGTGAAAAGCGGAAGGAGTAACGTCGTGCGTGAAGTCGAAGGAGAGCCATGTGAAAAAGTGACCAACGCCATGTGTGAAAACAAAGATGAGCAACACCGCAAGCGTCACTGCCGAGAGTGCAACGCCACGTGCGATAAGAGGGTAACGTCGCCCATGTTTGGTCAAGCCTTGTACGTCTGTCGGTTATGTCAGCGCTGCGCTGAATTTGTCAACGTCGTGCCGCTCGAGTAGCGGCAGCCACAATATTTTCCCCAACCACCCCACGATGTCAGCCATAGTAGATCTCACCTACCCACACGCTTTTAAATCATGCCCTTCCCCACTGCTGTGTGCCTTCCCGTTTCTTTCCCCTCAAACTTTCTCTCTCTAGCGCTCAAGGGGGAAACCCTCTTCACTGCCACCACTGCTACTGCTACTACTGTTGCTGTTGGCTATCCTGAGGAGCAAGAAGGCGACCTACGTGTGGCGTTTGGAGCGTCGTGAGCTTCAAGTATGTGAGTGTAGCTTCTTTGCGTCGACAATAGTAGGAAATTAGTTCTGAATATTGTTAGTGGGTTAATGCTGGGGTGAAAATTGTGAGTATGAATGAGTTTGAGTGGGGTTGAGAATAATAGCTGTGTGCCCCTACAACATGATGTTTTGAGCAATGGAAATGAGCTTGTGGTTGTGAAAAGTTGTAGCATAGTTCTTGTGTAGGGCTAGTTTTATATGAATGAGATTTTGTATGAAGCTTTATCTTAGTTAATGAAGTATTGAATGATCTTGAATGTATGCTAAACTTGGTATTGAGATTTTTCAGAACTGTGACTGTTCTTGTGGGGCACTTTTCAGTGGCCAAACGATGTCCAAACGATACCAAATCAATCTTGAATGAAAGATATTTCTGTCTATTTTATTTGGTTTTTTTATACTTTCTCAAAATTGTAAACGGTTTAAGAAATACACTCCCAGGAATGATATGTGTCACTGTCACCATGGCTTGAATTTTCTGACAACTGGTGCCTATTTTGCATCGAGCTTTTGCCACCTAACGACATCCAAATAGTTTCAAACTTCCTCTGTTTGAAAGATCTCGGAGTAAACTTAAAGTCGAATGTTTTGAGAATTTCCAAAATCATCGAGGTTTGCGAGGTAATCCCCAAGGTTTGTGAGGTACACCCCGAAATGCGAGGGCATGTTGCTGTTGCGAGGAATTTCCAACAACTGTTGTATGATTCGTATCAAGATTTTGATCTGCCAAACAATTTTTGAATGCCTTTAAACTACTGTCATTTTGAATATTACTGAGTGGGCTTGAAATTCCATGTTTTAATTATTTGATGATTCTCCCTAGATTGGGAGTTATGCCCTAAAAGGAGGTGTATGTCAATGCCACACTACACAGAGACTTTCAAAATTGTGCATGTTACACGGTTTTGGGCTCAACTTTGACCAAATGTATTCAAATCACCTTCATGTGAGATTTGAATAAATCTATTTTAAAATCGGTTTCAAATCACATTAAAACTCGCCACTGCTCAACAATTGTACTCCTTTTTCCTACAAGAAGGTCCCAGTTATGGAGTTGATAAATATTCTCTTTTTGCTTGAATCTTTTTCTGATCAATTAAGTGACAAGGTGTTATGTGTTCGAATTGATATACATCTATGATATAGAATAGTCTTCCAGTAATGATTGTCATATGTTAATTGCCATGGAGTTACGAGCACGATGCTATGCGACCATACAAGGAGTGACGGTCTGATAACTTTTAATACCCTGTGATGGCTATGTGATGCATGTAATTGAATGCGACCATGGAGTATGAATGCTAATTGAAAAAGTATAAGTGCCTTGAGATAACCCTTGTGATGAATGCCTTATGCTAAGAAGTATAGTGTACATGCAAGTTATACTTTTATACTGACCACTACGCAATGGGCCACCCATTGGTAGTGGGAGCACTGTTCTGTTATGATACTGTGATGCTGAGTACTGTGCAATGGGACACCCATTGGTAGTGCAACTAAAGTGATAGATGTTATGCGAATTATTTGGCATGATTTGTGCGTATCACATGGCAAAGATTGAGATTGAGGGATGCCTGCTTTGAGGGTATTGCAGGTTCTGCCTGTATGATTAATACCGATTAGGTACGTGCTTTGAGCACATCGCATGATCTGACTCAGTGATTGTTATAGACTTCTTATATGATTGATGCTGGTTAGGTGCATGCTTTGATCGTATCGCATGACTTGACCCAATGATTGTTATCGCATGACTTGACCCAATGATTGTTACAGACTGCTTATGTGATTGATACCGGTTAGGTGTATTCTTTGAGCGTATCACATGACCTGACCCAGTGATTGTTACAGACAACTTATGTGATTGATACCAGTTAGGCGCATGCTTTGGGAAAATGCTTACTGTAGAATGAAATGTGCTCAGTGATAAAGTAAGAACAAGTTCTAAACAAGTTCTATTATGATCAGAACGTACTTTGTGAGACATGTTCGGTTATGGATAAATGAATGATATCGT